ATCTTATCATCGATGGGTTTGTTATTCGGTGGTGGTGTTTTTTTTTTTTTTTTTTTTTTTTTTTTTACATACTTTTGATTATAGAAACGACAGTTTAAATTACTGAAGAGTTTTGTTTGCTAGCTCCAATTTCGCTTTCTACGTCGTAAGAATGAACCAGAGAAAAACAACATATAGAAGTTATAGCAAATTCCTCATGGTCATTTGGCATCAAATTCGCAAAACAAGATATCGTAAAATTTATCTGTTTTTGCTAATCTGCGAAATAAGGGACCGCAATAATTGCCTCACTGCCACAATTGCTGAACTTCGAATATTTTTTTCAACCTGCGGTGGATTTATCCCCCACATGTGTTACTTACTGTTTTCAAATATGAGTGTGACATACGGGTGAAGAATATTCAACACTAATGAAGGGCTGAGCCTGAAAGATCTTATCAAGGATGACTTATATACTATATAATAATATAATGGGTTCCTGATTTGACATAACAGCGCTGCGCCACTCAGACATACATAGGTGAGGTTTATATACCCAAGAAGATTTACTATTAGTCGCTTTAGACAGGTTCTATTTAATAACTTATCCCTTATCTCTCTTTTCTGTTCCGATGGGGGGCTGCGGTGGCCAAGAGGTTAAAGCATCTGACATTCTACTACCACTTGGTCGCGGGTTCGAGGCCTTCGTGGGACAGTCGCCTGGTACTGGTCGTAGGTCGGTGTTTTTTTCCGGGAACTCCGGGGACGTCCTTTAATGACCATAGCTATAAATAGGACGTGAAACACAAACGAACCAAACCAAAACTGTGCCGATGCCCGTCGAAGAAGCTATGACCGTTGCGTGCACTATCGGAGGAGCATTAGATATACGTTTGTCTTATAGTGTAGAGAGAAATAACCCGTAACACGAATCACATTTGGTTTGTTAGCAGTAAACTGTAAACCGTTATAGAAATAAGTTTATGTAATCCAACGTTGTTCTAACAGTGCATTAGCAAAGGTTAACATTCCAACAGGAAAAATGCGCGTTGGCATGCTTCGAGATTGCGTCAGAAATTCAAAGCAATATGCAGGCACTGTGTTTTATATTTTTTGTTTGCTCGCCAAACAGTCCAGATACGTTTACAGTAGAGCACCTCTGGAACAACTGTGTAAAGGGGCTCACCCAAATGAATCAGCCAATCAGCAAGTGTTTCATAGGAGTGTAATCCCTACCTAAATTTTGTTCCGGTCAGAAAATAGCTAACACTGAGAAACACTTAAGGGCGAAAAAATCAATTCTACGACTTNTAGTTGATTTCAAGATGTGATGGCGGATTTATATCGAGTCAAAAGGTCAAGGGATGACATAAAGCGCTCTTATATGCCATTAAACCGGCCAAAAATGCCCTTGTTTAATCTATGAATCTAGACAGTTGTCACTTTTCTTAAACTTCAAATATAAACGCTATTAGCTCAAAAGCTACGTAATAACTTAAAGTTGATGATTTAGTTGTGTCAGTCCTAAAATACCAGATTCGCAAAATGACCCTTCTGAGTGTACTAATCCTGGAATCAGATAATGTTCGGATGAGACAAATAAACGCACTGATCAATCTCGCTTCAGTGAAAGATCATACCAGGCACTGATTGGTCTATTTTAGCGTCAACTTCGATTTCACCGGAAAAGATTGCGAACAGTCCACTGCTAGTTCTGCAATCGTTATTAAAACGGGAGGTGTTTTTTTGGTCAAAATATCCCATTTATAAATTCTTTTAACATTGAGAAATAATGGCAAGCTTTGTCAAAATAAGATGAAAAATACTCTTGTTATGATGACGCAGTTTTTATACCGAATTTCTATATCATTCCAGCATACATGTCCATCTACCACATTGTCAAAACATAAATCGATTTTGTTTTGGATTGTTTATGCATAACGTCCTATTAACAGCTATGGTCATTTAAGGATGTGCCAGGTTTTGGTGGTGGAGGAATGCTGGAGTTCCTGAAGAAAAACCACCGACCTACGGACAGTACCAGGCGACTGTCTCACGTAGGTCTCGAAACTGCGACCTAGTGGTGGATAGCTAGTGGTATCAGAATGTCTGACGCCTTGACCACTTGGCCATCGCGCATAAATTGATGTATCAGTTGCTACAATAGCTTGGTACTAAAATCAGTACCTGTTAACAAGTTATCGATTAATCAGGACAATGCAATTTCAAAGCAAACATTCGACTATACCTCAGATACCAATCCTTTGTTATGATCAGAGAGGGTACTCTGTTAACATCGACTAACATAAGAGCATTTTAACTCAAATCTATCTGGGCAGGTTACGCTTTATGCTGTTCAAAATTTAATAGTGTCCTCTCTGAAGCAAGTCAAGAATGTTTGTGTTGAGACTATGTTTCCTGATATTAGCGAAAAGTAAGTGATTTATTTTTTCATTGTACGTTTGCAAATGTTTTAGGTAAAACAATATAAAAATATTTAAGATTATTTATATAATATTCGTCTGTGTTGCAAATCATCAGCGTGCATTTTCGATTACGTAAAAACAATATAATATTCGCAAAGAAATATATTTTATGCATAAAATGCTATGGAATGACCGTTTGACACCAACATATGCTGGTCGCTCCAGATGCATAAAAAGTAAAAAAGACCTTCTATATGTCACAACTAATTTATCTATTTATCTAACTATCTTTTTATTTATTTGTCTGTTTGTTTGATACTGAGTCTTATGGTACAGTGAAAAGGGTTAATCTACCTGCTGCCCAATTACAATTGATATGATCTTTATTCTTTTAGTTTCTCTGTTACTGCTTCGAATTTTAAAATGTAAGGTTTAAATGCAACAGACTGACAGCATCCCCTCCTGAAAGATGTTTTTTGAAAGATATCCAGCATAGACTTGGGTTTTTCTAAGGGAAAGAAGTATGTCCCTCATCTGGCAGACTGTTTTTTATAAATAATTTTTTTTCATATGGGGTTTTTATTCATTGACGGCCTTATTAAGGCAAGGTATACAAACTCTTGCCAGGTCTTTCAATTTCACTTTCAGATATATCGAAAGTACTATCTTATAACGAAAAGATATTTCTTGACCATTCATGATCGTGTCTACCTTCTTAAGGTTTTTAGGAATAAGAATGCTATGTTCTGAAATGACATTCTTTTCTCACACTCTTCACAGGTGTGTCTCCTGTTTTATCGGGGAAAGATCAGCTTGTCACCCCCTAGGGGGGAGATAGCCTCGTGTCGGTTAGCACGTGTTCAATTGTGACGTCATAAAAAGTGAATGACGATATTCATACCCCACATGTGTTTTTGTTTACACTACTGTCGGTGGAGTTGTGACTGAAATAATAGGATGGGAGAAAAAAAATAATACCCCACTTTAAGGGCGTAACAGAGATATATCTGTCACACCCTCAGGGTAGGAGAAGATTCTTTTAATCACAGCACTTGGGTTTAAGCTCTCGCACTGTGGATGAGAGATGTTTTCATAATATCATTAGCTGGTAAAGAGTAGTAGGAAAACTGTTAAGTCAATTCAACGTTGCTAGCGATGAATACCCAGACATGATAGTACGGGGCGTTTATAATAGCTCCACTGCATTATTGGAGATAATGTGTTTGTTTGCTTACGGATCCCGGTACCACAGCAAAAAATATATATTAAGCAATTTACATTGTTCCTGATTATAGCCTCGATGACAAAAAATCTGAACAGAAGCTATACCTTGTGGAACTTTTGTTTTAATAAATACGCTAACAGTGTTCTGATGAATACAATTCACAGGGACAGGCTAAGATTCGAACATTCGACCATAGATCATTACACTGTCATTCGCATCAACTAAAAGGTGCTGTCGTACTTAAACTACATATATATTCAAAACGAAAGTAATGGGATCTTATTTTATGTACGTACAAATACAGTGGATTTCTTGCGTGCTTTATCTTCAGTTGTATAGGAATCCTTGATGATATTGATGAAATTTAAATATACTTACTTCACATAATACAAAATATTTTATTTTTATTTATTTTTTATTTTTAAAAACTGCTATGCATGTCTTTATTGTATTGACTGCTTTATTTAAGGAATATTTTCCTATTTTGGTCAGGTTTCTATATGAAAATCAAATCGAGTAAGTGTAAATTGATGACATAGATCGTTTTCAATTATGTTTCGGAAATGCGGAAATGTTGCAAAACTCCGCCTACGTGTTTTGATGTCGACGTCATGGAACTTGTCCTTTCCATGGTAAGGTTATGAGATAAGAACTCCAATTTACGGCAACAATACGTAAATGCCGGAGTAATTAATTCTATAGAATAATGTTGAATTACTACTTTTGTTACAGAACACTTTAGACATTTGCATTTGTTTGACCTTAAGTACCACGGGTGAGTCTTTAATGGATTACAGTCATATGCTGCAGTATAAGTTTGGTTTACTTTCTTCATTTTCAATAGGATACGTATTAGTTCGTATTTAAAGTGGTTATTTTCATTTTAGACTTACTAATATACCCTCTGACGCATGTTTATTTCGTAATATTTTATCAATCACTGTAAGTAATATATAACAATATTTAAGCATACAGACAATTAGACAAACGCATAGAATGTTCTTAAAGTTCAATACTTTCATTTCCAAATTTGACCAAAATTGAAATTAATTACTGTAATATTGACTCCGATAAAATGTTCTGAACATTTTTCCTTGGAGGAAAAGGAAAACTGAATGACTTTTGTGTCAGGATATAAATAACAAGCACTTTTTGTTCTTTGCTCATTCACAAGACATGACAACACATGAATACATGTTATATGTTCTTGTCCTGTTAATTAATAAAAAACATGAATATGTCTAAATTTAATCTCGATTTCATTTTCACAAAAACATTATCTATAAGATTTTTTTGCCGTTATATATTGTATAGCGCCACTGTTTCTATCCTTGGGGAATGGTACTCTTGTCCTGGATGAGAACTCTGCAATGGAAAATTGGTTTCCGCTTGGCGACGTGACATCAGTGGGCGTGGTGAGATCAAAGTCTGAATGTGGACTTCACTGCTCGGCTGTTGGTTGGTGCATGTCCATCATATACGACTCAGCCAATAACACCTGTTATCTTAACGACGTGTTGTTCACAGACGTATCCAATGGCTACTGGAGGCAGAATACGACTCACTTTCAAGGTAAATATAACAGTTCTATCTATACTTGTATTGCATTAAGAAACATCCACTCCCGAAAGGCACCGTTGGCTGAGAGGTAAAGGCGTCTACCTTTCTAGTCGTGGGTTCGAAGCCTACGTTCCGCAATCACCAGGTGCTCGCCGCAGGTCGGTCGTGTTTCTCCAGGTACTTGCGTTTTCCTCCACCACCAAACTGGACCTCTTCAAAGTCCAGACATGTAAATAGGACGTAAAAACATACAATCAAAACATTATTCCAGAAAAAAACCAGTTAATAAGCGCACTTACGTTCTCTGTTGAAATATTTCATTACAAAATCGAACGCTCAGTGTGCGACAGCATGTGAATGACACTGGTAGATTTGTTTGATCATTTAAATTTATCAAAAGAATCGTAAAGCAGCATAACGGTAACATTGACCGGCTTTGAAATTGTATGTCGTTTCTCTGTTGTCTTTAAAAGACAGGTATCCCCATGGCGATTGGGCATTATTTAACACTGAAACCACTCACATTGCTAACATCATTTCACTTATTTCGTATTGAAATTATGGCAGGCGTGAACAGAGCGCAAGAAAGTGTGACCCCCTGAAATGTGTTTCAAAAATGCCAAATTGACTATTCCTCTTACATGTCTTAACAAAGGAAAACATTAATAAATATTTGCATGGAGACTCTTAAAAAAGGGACAAGGAAAATAAGACCATGTGTATCGGAAGAGTAAGCGTCTTCTTTTTCATTGACTATATCCTCATATACATCTAGGTTAAATTTTAGTAATGTCACGCCGTCGTAGCGAGAAGTGGGGTAGTGACAAAACAACACACCATACTAAATATAAAACCTTAACGTTCAAATGAATGGTCCGTACTCCAATATATCAGCACTATGTTATAATATAGGTAATCATAAGAATTATGCTTTATCACTGTAGATTCGAAACAAATACATGTATAATTTGTTCATTTTCACCAATGAAAAGAACCATGTCTTATATGCCTAGTTTATATATATATTTTACTCCTCATTAGTATATTTTATCTTTTTCACCAGTGAAGAGTACTGTAACTGTACCTGAGGGTAATGACTGCAATGCTTTCACCGGAATTTGCATAAATCTATTGTCTTCTCTTCACAATTGGAATGATGCGTTCGACGCATGTGCGGCAAAAGGTGAACGATTTCTTTTGATTGATAGCGCTGACAAGCAGTTGGAGGCCGAGCAATTCATGCAGGATCAAGGTAAGTTTACCGGTTATGTTACAATATATCATTCATCCTAACAGCCGTTCCCTTAAGGATGTACTCTTTTGAGGTTTAAATCACGTTCAAGTTTGGTTTCGTCTCGTGTAACCGGCTTTTGTAATATTCATCAAATTATGATACATTTTAAGAAAGAAACACGTTTCCGGGAAAAAAAATCCAAAAACTAAACACTTGTTGTTTGTAGAAATGCCCAATTTGACAGCCATTAACAAAAAATGCATTTTTTCCGCTTAACAAAACGCCAAAATGTCACTTTTTGTGACACTTTTCGAGTAACAAAAAGGATTGTGATTTGCTGTCTAAGATTGCTCGCAGCGTACAAAATGTTTACGAATTGTGGAATTTGTACAATATCTACGCATTGAGAACATAGAAAGCATGCAGCTTTTCTGCTGCCCCCCCCCCCCCCCCCCCCCCCCCCCCCCCNTATTGGACCATTTTATTTTTCATTTTTTTTCGGCGGTCCCTCCTCAGGAACTGTATTCTAGCCGGTAATGAATAAAAAAGACAACATGTGGTTAGCAAATGACCTCGCCCTAGCTATGATATCAGAGAGAGGATATTTTAAATGGTGATTAACTGTCCCCATTATCTGAGGACACGATCATACTGTCACAACTGTATTGAGACTTCAAAAACCTTAGCAAACAAACATCGAAATATCCGATAAAGTTCGAACTGCCAGCTATTGTATGCAACAGTTTGCTTAAGGATCCTTTAAATACCTTTCGTGAATCGTCTTTATGGATATGGTGTTAAAAGTGTGACGTCATATAGAAAGCAATCCACTGAAGACACTTTAAGACAAAGTCAATGGAACAGATTACCGACCTGACATAGGTAGATACAGTGTATACTGTTTAAACAAGCTTCATGAACATTAGTGTCTTGTATGCCTTTGGTATAAAGGTTAAGTATTTGATTAAACCTTAAACAAATTTGATCTGGTAATGGGTATATCCATATATAATTAAAGCGGCTTAAACAGCTGGTATATATAACTTGCCAGTGGTTATATATTACCATTGGCTAAACATGATATAATATTGTCAATAGTCACCTACTGGCCTTGTTTCAGAAATCTTCCCCTGGGGTGATTATGTGGTTGTCTATCTCGAGACTTTGCCGAGGGTTAGACAACAAAATAATAGACACGAGGGTAGGATATTTCTCTGTTACACTTTCAAGGTAGATATGAAGATTTTCTTCCATCATTCAAATATTTTGTATCTTGTTTGAAAAAAAATTATATCAGCATTTGTAATTTTCCTATCCTGCATGATTTGCTCATACCGATTAACAGCCAAGGGTCGTGCATGTGGGTATTGTATACGTTCACGCTGGAGGCGGTATTGTTGAATATAGAGCGGATCTTACGCCGACTGTAGAGTATTCCGTCTTTGCGTATTGCAGAGTTATCTTCTCTTGAGATCAGGTATTGATTGTTACGTCATTGGTTTGTGAGAGTAACGTCATCAATTTTTGAGAAAATGACGTAAGTTTCTCACACAAACCAATGACGTAACAATCAATACCTGTTCTCAAGAGAAGATAACTCTGCAATACGCAAAGACGGAATTACCTAACTGAGAGGTAATGCAGAAGTCCACAGTAACAGTACGAGACACGTGTTAACTATCCATAGATATATTAATAATGTGATAGATTGATATTCAAACGTACATTTCTAGTAACTAGTAATGTCAAATTCCACAAATCTTTCTGAATTTTGTATTCCCTTTTTTTTCATGTTTGGAGGGGGGGGGGGGGGGGCTGTTATTTTTTACTTTCAATGTCAACTGAAAACGATTCATTGTTCATGCAAGCTGTACAGATATCATACAGATACATTTTTGATTTCTCATTAAAGGTCTTAGCTCTTTATGGATTGGGTTGACTGACCAAGTAACCGAAGGAGTATGGCTTGACGGGGAGGGAAATATTATGGAGTACAGCAGCTTCGCTTACGGACAGCCGGACAATGGAGGTAGTAACCAACACTGCGCGCTGATGAGAGCCAACTATGGATATAAGTGGGATGACTTTATCTGTAGTCATAAAACGTATGTCGTCTGTGAGATGATCTTAGCTATGTAGAATTATAGGAACGTTCGTGATTGGTTAATCCATTACGTCATATTGGTAGCACAATTAAGGCTTCTTTTCATATCATCAAAGTATCGTCAGTTCTAGACTTAAATCTCCGAATAATCCCCTGTTGGCAGATCCCGTTTTCACTGTCAGAAACTATAAATATGCATTGAAAGCTGTCTTTTTGGCATGACTATAACTTTGAAAAATTCGTTTCTGAAAAGAATGCAATGTCTTGCTGGAACGTTTATCAACAATAATGAATACAATACACACAAATAGCATCAACACAATTGTAGAGCATGGCTGGACCAGATGTGGATGCCTTGACCTCAGCATGTTATAGAAAGCGTTCAGTTAAGCGATTGTACGCGATAATTCAAGGTATTGTGTCCTGGTTTGTGATAGATACTATATAATGACTTCTTAATTAAGGTTCATCTTCTGATAAAAAAAGGTCGGCAAATCTACTGCAAAGAAAGACATTTCATTGATACGTGTATGCTACTGTATATCATACTCTACCTTAGGGTGGATTCTATTAAAGTTAATGTTACTGCTTCAAATTTTAAGCTATAATTATGAAAATGTCTATATTCAATTTGATTTTCTCTAAAGCAATATAATAATTGTTTTTTTTATAGAAATCACCTTCAAGGTGTTGTAATTTACGTCATACAAATGTATAAGAATAATTATAAAATGAGGAAAATCACAAAAATTCAATTTAAAACAAGATAAAATATTTCCTCAACAAATACTAAAATCAAATTAGTTAAGGATACCAGTACTAATGTTCAAAATTGAACTACCAGTAAGAAATATTTTTACCTGCATGTTAATATTTGTTAAAGGTAAATCATTTCTGTACCTTGCGAGACTACTCAACAAATAAAGACAAATAACGCTACTGTAAATCATATTCTGTTGGGACTTCCTTTCTACTTACGAGCGGGTTCTATTAAAGTTAATATAATTGCTGCAAATTTCAAGCTATAGTTTTGATAATGTCTATATTTTTTAGCTGATTTTTTCTGAAGCAATATAATATTTGATTTTATAGGAATCGCCTTCGCGGTGTTGCCATTTGAGTCAAATAAGAACTACCAAATTAGTTAAGGATCCCTTAACCAATGTTGAAAATTGAACTACATGTATCAATGGGAAACGTTTTACCTGCATGTTAATAGTGACAATTGATAAATCATTTTCGTAACTTGTGAGACCTTTCAATGTAATAAAGATGAAAAAACGAAAGAAACACCGGTGTTTTAAGAGTAAAATTGCAGCAGGTGTTGCTGGGTTTCCACCCCTGGACCTCTGATCACTGTTCAATCGCCCTAGCGAACAGACATTCCTGAACAGCGATATTTCCGTTGCCTAGGCCACTTGTTATAATCGAACTAAATTTACCGAAGGTTCCAGAATGTAAGAAAAATCAGTGGAAATACCTAGTGTTTTTTTTCCTATAGTAAGGCATTTGTGCTAAAATAAATTTAAAACTTTCCTGAAAACAGGTCGTGCGTCTGTATGCACTATCGGTATATCACATTTACCTTTAATTTTAAAATTTGAAGTACACACATTAACGGTACACATTGAATAACAATATCCATAAACTTTATTTTACTTAAAATATGATCAATACATTCACTGACTATTCAAAGTAGGACAATTTACGAATTAGAACAATGTTTACCGACAATTATGGAACTGTTAACTTGAGGCCGTAACACGGTATTTCTGCCTCTATTACAATAGCCCTATATGAAAACATCAATACTATATAGTAGCACTTCCTGCCATTTTGATTGACCGGACAACCTCTGCATCAGTTATGACGCTGTGACAGTGTTTAGCTTAGTGATCATCAATTCGTTGAAATAGTGATACTAAAAGGGTGTTAAATTCCATTGAAAAAATCTTTAAACTCATAGGAAAATCGTCATACATACATGTAGATAGTTATTTACTTATGCAAGTATACAAAACATCGCCAGGTCATTACGTAACAATTAATGGTAAGCGGTTAAGTAGTTATAACCCAGAAAATAATTGTATTGATTCTGCAGTTGAAACCATGGTGAAGTCAAGACATTATGGTTAAAGGACCCCATCTTAAATAAGAAAACAATGTCATGACAGTGGAATACACACGGCGTCGTGTGAGTTTGACGAGGGCGGCTGAATATGGAGTACTTTAAACTCAAAAACGGACAACCTAACAACGGAGAGAACAGTTAACACTGCGCGATAATGAGATTCGCCTTTGGATATAAGAGGGACGATGTAAAATGTGGTAATACTATTGCAGTAAACTTCTAGATGGTGTAAGCTGTTATATGATACCACATCCTTATCAGAACGTTCGTGTTTGGATAATTCGATTTCGTCATAGGAATAGTAAAGTAAATCAGCTGGAAGCTCTGTTTGAATTTCGTTTCCTTTTAATTGAAAATCAAAAAAACGCCATGGTAAAGGACGAGAAATATTGGACTTCACTATCCGTAAACTTTCTGTTTTTAATTCAGACATATGATAAATAAATTCATTGAAGATTCCAAGTAGGACAAATCAATAAATTCAGTGAAAATAAAATAAGGCAGTGTTTACCAATACTTTTTGGATTGTTTGTTTAACGCCGTTGTACGATTTTTTCTGTTATCGGTAAAGTATTTCTTTATGAAAATATCAATAATATCTATTAACCCTTTCTGCCATTTTAATCAAGGTTCCTTCGGTATGGTGATGATGCCGTGATAGAATAATAGAATAAAATTCATTGAGTCGAAACAAGTATCTTTGTAAAAATAATATTAAATTTCACTCATAATAATCTTTAAATTCATCATAAAATATACTTGTGATTTGTGTATTGTTAAGCGTCGACATTGCCAGGAACTCAATTATCTTTGATGTATGAACTTGTTTGAGCACGCGTTACAGCAAAAAGTAAATATGTATTAAGTGACGTCAAGTGGCTTTGTAGTGATGACCCGTGTAGGCGTTGATATGATTTGACATAGGAAATTATTATCTAACCTCTGCTTTATGGTTAAGGGATCCCTTTGGAAAAAAACAAACGGTGGCTTTGGTGGGATATCAAAGACAGAAGCCAAATATGAAAACTATTATCACGTTGCTAATTTGTTTTGTTTTCATAATTTACCAACATTATTTCAAATAGTATTTGTTTATTGTATTAACACATTAACACGAATTCATTGACAATATCTTTACTTTGTTCGTGTTAATTTTTGACAGTTTACAATAATAGTCCAGCATCGAACCTGGACATTTCTTTGACACGGTCTACAACGTGTTCTTAAGATTAAAATAAACTAAAGGTGATGTCTGTTTTGGTATCTCCTCGGTTTCTTTATCTGTATCAGCAAAATCACTCGGATGTTTACATAGTGGGTTTTTCAAGTGTTACATTTGTAATATTTTACCTATATCTAGGTCGTTAACAAAAACATCAACAAAAACAGAACGTAGTTTTTATTTTGTTTCCTTAATTCATGAATCGAAAAATCATTACAACAAAATATATGTTGTTAAACATTTTTATCGTTTTCAAAAGTGTTCTCAAATTATCATAAGAACTCAATTATCTTTGATGTATGAACTTATGATAAAGGACGAGAAATATTTGATTTATTTTGAAATATTAGATTTACTCGCATGTATGTACACTCCACATATACATAGGCTTAATTATGCAAAACAAAGGTGAACTTCTCCAGTACAATTAATATTCTCGCATATTCAGTAGTTAGGGCAAATTTGTATCTTAACTTAGAAGTAATTGGCCTTACCGAGTTGATGGTTGTTGATGTCAATTCATAATTTAAATTTAACTGTAGATTTTCACAAAAAGTCATACTGTTTCATTCTTCAATGTTTTTTTCGTATTGCATTATGTTGTAATTTGAGTTCAACTATGTGTGGGAGGAGTCAAACTATATATGGGAGGAGTTAAACTATGTGTGAGAGGAGTTTAACTATAGGCGGCATGAGTAAAACTGTGTAGGGCATGAATAAAACTGTGTAGGGCATGAGTAAAACTGTGTAGGGCATGAGTAAAACTGTGTAGGGCATGAGTAAAACTGTGTAGGACATGAGTAAAACTGTGTGTGACAATAATAAAATATGTGTGAGAGGAGTTTAACTATGTGTGGCACGAGTTAAACTATGTGCGGGAGGAGACAAGCTATATGTGTGAGGAGTTAAATTATGTGTGGGCGGAGTAAAACTTTGTGTTGAAGAAGTTTAACGTTGTGTTGGAGGATTTAAACGATATGTGGGAGGGGCGAAACCATGGTAAGGAGGAGTTAACCTTTGTGTGGCACGAGTTAAACTATATGTGGGAGATAGTTGAACTGTGTGTAGGAGGAGTTAAACTGTACGTATGTTGAAGGTGTACAAGTGTGTGAGAGAAGAGATACACTGTACCCCATGTGTGACAAGAGTAAACAATGTGTGGGAAGCGTAAACATGAATGTGTTGGAGAAAGTATTTTTTTGTACCTTTGTGTTGCCTATGTATATGTGGAGTGTATATACATGCGAGTAAATCTAAGTGTGGGGGAGTTAACATATGCGTGTAGGAGGAGTTTACGTTTGTACGTGAGGAGGTGTGCTATGCGTGGGAAGGGTAATCCTATGTGTGGGAGAATATGATCTTCGTTTATTTAAATTTACAAACATATGTTAACATGATTTTGTGGATAGTAATTAACGAATCATGGACGGAAACGTTGTTCTAGATAAAAAAAAAAATGAACTCTCAACGTTGGTGAGGGTATGAGGTGATAACTTGTTATGAACAAGGATTTTCAGTTATCATGGCATAACTTTTCCAATCAATTAAGTTATTTCATTATATTAGAAATTCATATTATTTGAAAGGTAAACAAAATACGTACATAGGTATTACCAATGTCTGTCACTGTTGGATTATTCTAATTATTGATGAGTGACTTGACATCGTTAACACAAAAAAAT